CAAATGCAGAGGCATGGTGGGAGGTCAAACATAGCTGCCATGGCTTGTTTGGTTTGGTATGAGTTAATTTTGTGTTTTATCTTTGCACAGCTCACCCCATGCTTACCTGAACAGGTGGTAGGTTCCAGTTAGGTGAGGTGGTAAAGGTGAAGGCCAGGAGAGAGAAAGGAAGGGGGCCAGCTTGCTGTGAGGCTGTGATTTTAAACCTGTGTTTGGTTTTCTTTAGTGTAGATGGTTTTCCTGGGAGACTGTTTTTTTTGGGCTATTGTTTCATAATTATTTTTGTTAATAAACCTTACAACCTTCTGCACCTAATCCTGCTAATTGGACTATTTTTTCCCCAACATCCTTTTTAATGGGGTTGGTGTGCCAAAACCATCCCATTTCCCTTTAGTTCCCTTCCTTTAATGGAGGGCCGGCGGACAAGAGCATTATGTTATTTATCTTATTTACTCAACAGCTTGTCATTTTTGTCTCTGCACGGTCGCGCGTTTACAATTTTCCTTTGCTCTCTCTATCGCGCATGGTGGAGTTCTGCACCGATTCGTGCGCACAGACACGTGCAAGCACACACAGGTGAGCACACTCCCACCAGCGGACAGAGAGCGCACGTCGGAACATATGTCGCGTCAACCACCTGAACAGCAGACAAAAATATCTGCGTTTTCCATTCCCCTGATGGTCCCAGTGTAAACTGTGAGAGGGACTTCTCAACCATGAACAGGGTAATAAATATGTTTTACAATGGGATTTTCTGCTTTAAACTATCACTATTTATCAGCTATCACTTTTAAAGCCTAACAGTTAATGTATTTGCAGGTCAAGACAAACATCCGCAATAGGTTGCAAGGAGACCATCTTGCAGCCTGCATGCGGATCTCAATAAATAGATAGACGTTTCTGACTTCCCATATCAAGAGGCTCTAGAAATGTTCTTCCAGAAGCCCAGACAGATACACTGCAGTGACAAAAGCTTCACACTTTGTGGATAATTGTTATGACAAGAAATGTTCTGATTTTTAGTTCAGTTGTTATATTGACTGCTGTCATTAAAAGAAACACCATGAATCCCCCCCAAAAGCTGCAAACCTAGGGGAAACACTGACACTGGAATTTTGCCCTCGATGTACAGTGTAGCTTCTGACAGTGCTCTGCTCCTACGTCACTGGTGGCTTCCTGCAGACCAAAAGATGCACATAACCTCAACAAGGTTAGTATGTCTTGCACTTGTGCATGCATTGATCACATTTCTTGAAGGGTTGTCTTGCATAACACTATACAGTAATTGGTTTTCATGCCATTGAAGGCATACCTGACATTGTAGATGCAGTGGATGGTCCTGTTGGCTTCATCTGCTGGGGATCTCCAGCATGCACTGGGGCGGTTCGCAGTCGAGTGCGAAGCGGCAGGGATGAGGATTAGCACCTCCAAGTCCGAGACCATGGTTCTCAGCCGGAAACGGGTGGTTTGCCCTCTTCGGGTCGGGGAAGAC